GGGGGCAGGGGGGATATTGGGGACATTAAGGGGACTGGGGACATTGGGGGCGGTGGGGGTAAAGGGGACGTTGGGGGACACTGGGAGTAATGGGGACAGTGGAGGGCATTGGGGGTAATGGAGACATTGGGGTAATGGGGGCAGTGGGGGCAGTGGGGGACGGGGGCAGGGGGGATATTGGGGACATTAAGGGGACTGGGGACATTGGAGGCAGTGGGGGACAGTGGGGTTAAAGGGGATGTTGGGGTTCTTGGGGGTAATGGGGACATTGGGGGGCAGTGGGGACAGTGGGGGGCATTAGGAGTAATGGGGGAGATTGGGGACATTGGGGGTAATGGGGACATTGGGGGATGTTGGGAGTAATGGGGGCAGTGGGGGGCATTGGGGGTAATGGGGAGATTGGGGGCATTGGGGGACGTTGGAGGCAATGGGGACATTGGGGGCAGTGGGGGACGTTGGGGGACATTAAGGGGACTGGGGACATGGGGGGCAGTGGGGGTCACTGGGGGCAGTGAGGGGCATTGGGGGTAATGGGGGCAGTGGGGATATTGGGGGACATTAAGGGGACTGGGGACATGGGGGACATTGGGAGTAATGGGGACATTGGGGGCAGTGAGGGGCATTGGGGGTAATGGAGACATTGGGGGGCATTAAGGGGACTGGGGACATTGGAGGCAGTGGGGGTCACTGGGGGCAGTGGGGGACATTGGGGACAGGGGGGATATTTGGGGGCCATTGAGGGCAATGGGGCCATTGGGGGCAGCGGGGACATTGGGGGAAATGGGTCCATGGGGACATCGGGGTCAGTGGAGACGTTGGGGACACTGTGGGGCACTGATGGGGCCGTGGAGCTGTGGGGCTTTGGGGGGGAGGGGGGGTGCCAGCAGGGTGCTGGGTGTCACTGCAGGTGACGGAGCTGCCACCGACGTCACCAACGTGGAGCCAGGAGCTTCAGGTGCCACCAGGACCCCTACGGCCACCCGCGTCCCCATGGATGTGGGGCCACCAAGTGCCACCAATGATGTCCCCA